AGAGAGAGAGAGAGAGAGAGAGAGAGAGAGAGAGAGAGAGACCAAGAAAGGACAAGCTTAAATTCTGCTCTTCTCCAAACCCTCCAGAATGTAAGGCCTTGACAGAGGGTCCTCCACAGAGAGGCATAAGGAAATGTTCGACTTTTCCTGACAGGATCTCAGCCTTGCTTTAGAAATAGAGCACTCAAATACATATTGCAAGAGGTGGTGCCACGCCCTTCTGGAAAGGATCCCATTGGCCTCTCTCCCCAGCTGCATGCTTGGAACCCACATTGGCATGCTGACTTGGAGGTGCAGGGTCACCTCCCAGAACTGCTCACCTGGGCTTTTCACCTTCCCTCTGCTGACACCCTGAAGGCACAAACACGAGCCTCCAACAGCCTCCAATGCTTGGCCTGAAACTTGAAAGTCTCACTAAATTCCCATCATCCACGGCTCTCCTACTTACCTTGGGCTGTGCACGACGAGGAAATGCAACTTTGGGGTCAATCTGGAGGAAACAAATAAACAGGGAAGAAGTGAGTGATAGAGTCTAGAGGGCAGGGAGGACATGAATATCCAACCACCTAATTATTAATCACTCATTTCTCAGGCTTAGACCTCATCTTTCAGTAACTTCTTGGACAACTCAAGAGCTCCTTCAGCTTTGGTCTCACTTTTGCCATCCCTCTCCCCATGGGACTTATGAGGTTCACCTTCCTGGAATGTTCCACCACGAATTTTAGTGAGTGAAGTGTTTGTAAGCCAGAGCTCATGCACTCTTATTGAAACAAGGGACTTCTCTTCCACAGACCCTGAATACAAAATGGTACCCAGAGCTAATGTGCAGGGGAAAAGATGGGTACAATGTTATCTGAAGGGGAGAAAAAGAAAAAGCCCTCAAAAATGCATGTTCCTCCGGCTTTAGGTAAACGGGTGATTATTCCTTCTCCCTGGCAAAGCAGGGGAAAAGGGACTCCCCAAAAAAATTGAAAATCAACAATGCCCACCGCAATGCTCAGCTCAGATTAACTCACTGGTATTAAAAATGAAGTTACCAGGAAGATCAAGGAAAGATCTTCAGCAGCCAGGCATGGCGGCTCACACCCCGAATGCCCACACCTGAGAAGCTGAGGGGAGAGATCACCGAGGGGTGGAAGCCCCTCTGCAACACCATAGTTGAGTTCTAGTTGAGACCCTACCTCAAAAAAATCATTTGCAATTGCCCTGTGGGTATACCTCAAAGAAAACAGAATTCAGTGACTTGTTCATTTAAAAAAAAAAAATCTTAATAAAAAAGAAAAAGAAAGGTGTATATATGAATTAAACCCACATGGATTAAAAAAAAAAAAAAAAAAAGGTGTATATATGAATTAAACCCACATGGATTAAAAAAAAAAAAAAAAAACACAGGGATGAAACTACATCAACAACCCTAAGTCCAACCAGAAATGCCATTGCATGGGGTGTTAAAAGGAAAATGACTGAACAGAGGTGGAAATCCAATGCAATAACTGGGGTATTCCCCCAGCCCACCTCCACCCCAATGGGAAAGCTTCCCACACTCCATCAGTGCCGGCTTGCAAAGAGCATAGTTCTCAATCAGTGACAAGCTCTACAATTCCCACAGAAGGCTGAGCTGTGTGAGTTTCTAATGGCTCTGAATGATCCTAACAGCTGACGTGAAGAGAAAAAAAGTTATTGCCTACATAAAAACAGGGAGGAATTAAAAAAACATCCATCACTTGTTTCCATTAGATTTCTAAACATCACAAATCTTTTGAGTATAGTTCAACGTGGAGAATGGCATAGGTATTGCTACAAGTTATTTATTTCTGAGCTCTGGCTTTCCGGTTATAAATTTCCCCCTTTAAAAAGTAAATCTGAACCTCATGTCCGTTCTGTCCCTTAAGAAAATAATAACCATGTTTTGGGGAAAACTTCAGGGGGTAAGATACTCACAACACAACTCCACCCCACCCCAGATAATCCCTGGGTCCCAGCCGGTAAGACATACAAAGACAAAATCACTTTTATTAAGGTAGTTTAAAGACCTAAAAATCCACCTTGTGCTTTCTGCCTTTAAGCACCACCTGAGAAATGAGAGATTACTTTTCAAAAACAGACCAAACTCTTGGATCTAGGAAACTACCCTTTCATAAAGATTAATATTACTGCGTCTACAGGTGTGCCCAGCACTGACTAGAGTTTCTCTACAAAAGAAATACAACAGGTGTGGATTTCCATTCTGTCGCCAAAACTGAGACAGATGTTCATCTCTGTTCACTCAAAAGACACACTCCTGAGGCTTGATGGATCTGACCAACACACAGGTGCAGTGAGAAGTCACCTTGTTTGTGTGGGAAACGATGAGGTACAACCCAGGGAAGGGCTGGGACCGGGGTGAGAAAAGTACAGCGAAGAAAATGAAGCACTAAGATTTAAAAAAAGGAAAGAAATGTAAAATTACAAAACCAAAAGCCAATTTGGGACTGCACTGTATGTGTGTGGTGGTGACATCAGCATGTTACAAGGAGAGCAGAGGTCTCCCATGTGCAAAGTTTTCCACACTGAGATCTCCAAGGCCTAGGAGGCATCAAGGCAAGAAGGCAAATCCCAACCTTTTGTACATCCCAGTCAACTATTAAAAAAGAAAGAAAGAGAGAGAGAGAGAGAGAGAGAGAGAGAGAGAGAAGAAAAGAAAACTACCCAAAATTAAAACATTAGTTACTTAAGTGCAGCGCTAGTACTGGTTCTAGAGTCCTCTAGAAAACACTAGGGTACTATTTTGGATGCCAATGGCCTTTACCTAAACAAAGCTTTTAAGGTTACAGTAAACAAGATCCTCGTTTCCATGTCAATAAACCAACCGCTTCTGCCTCCTGCACTGAACGTTGAAACAAAGTCAAAAGCTAGGTTATACTAAGTAATAGCAACCAAAATATGTCTACAAAACAAACAATGGTGGAAAAACCCAAAGCCCAGCAATGGATACTGAGGGATACTGAGGGATCTGACCAGCCAGCTCCCACTAAAACCAAACTCCAGTTCTCCCACCCAGGCAAAAGGAGTGCACGAGAGAGAAATCACAAACCCGCTTTGAATTTTTCCAGTGAAATTCTCCCTAGCTGTGTGATGCATCTAGCCAAGAAGTCAAGGAGGAAAGCATAAATTGTTCAGACATTCCTCATCACCTTACCAATGATCATTCTTGATATTAAATGATCTGACAGCACACACAGGCTGGGCTTGCAAGCTCTGACAAGTCTAGGACAATTAATAAAGTGACTTAAGTGCATAAGGCGTTTTCCTGGGGGGTAAGGGCAACACCTGACATCTTTGATCATAAAAAGTGGGTGAGTTTGCAAAATAATCCAAGTGCACCTAAGGTTGCCCGGCACTCTCCTCCTCCACTCAGTGTTAAGAGATGAAAGGGCTTGCAAGACCCTTGAATTTTGCACTTTATAAAAGAGGAGCGTGAGGGTCAAGTTTACAGTGGGCAGCTGTCTCACCTATCGCCCCCATGAGCTCACAACAGAACAGGAGCATCCTGTGCAGCCCAAAGCCACATTCCAAATATCACCTTGAGGCCTCTGCCTTAAGCAGTGGTTTAAAAAAAAAATTCCTAGTGAAATTCTGCTAAGCATCCAGGGAAGGCAGGAAGGCAGGAAGCCAGCATGGGGGCTGACGCACCTCTAGGAACTCCCCGCCTTCTCCATCAATTACATTTATTTTTCCAGACTGACATTTTTTCCCCTTGTTCTCTGACCTCCACCTAGGTTCTTTCACACCTAAACTCTGGATTTTAAGAACTTCAAATGCTTTAAAAGTATCTACACATAAATGAAAGGATCTGAGGGGGGGGGGGCGGCCAGGAGCAATCACTTTGAAAACCAGGCCTTATCAGTCTTCAATTCGACGCCATCTGGTGTAACCCCACTGGACGCCTGAATCGGCTCTGTCAGTATCTCCCTTTCCTTCGGAAACCACATCTCAAATCTCTTGGAGTCCCAGAGAAACCTGTTGCCTGGACCTAAGATCAGCGCCCCCTCCCCTCATCCCAACCCCTGCCCCCTCCACCAGGAAGCAGGCTGTGCCTTCCTTCCACAAGCCGATCCCAATGCCACAGGCTGTGCTCTGCTGACAAAGAAAGTTCCATTTGCTCTCCGGTGGAGTTTCTCTGCAAGGTCCCTTGGCGGGAGGCTAGCCTCTCAGGGAACGGACCCCCCTCCCCCCCCCACAGTCCTGGCTTGGCAGTGTCTGAAGCTGCAATGGGACAGACTACAAAAGAAACCCCCCAAAACAGCCACGCCAGCAAACTTCTGAGCCAACTCACTAGCTGTTTAAAAGTACCCAGTTCTAGCAATAGAAGCAAAAGAAGGCGCTGTCCCTTTAAACAGGGCTGTCAATGCCCAGACCGGCACTGAAAAGGGGCAAACAACAACAACAACAAAGCAACCTACCGTCTTGGAATCTAACTCATGGTGAGGCTGACCTAATACTTTATCTACACTTGCTGGGTCTGCGAAGGTGACGAAACCGAAGCCTCTGGAAGGAGACAAAGAGGGAGAAAAACAAACAAAATGTGACACCACTGAAAGCAACAAGGAGACCCTATATGCAGACTGGGGTGCGAAAGTTGCCCCCCACGCACCCCTATTCCCACCAGCTCCCTCTATTCTCCCCTAGCCCACAGTCCTCTGCCTTGCGAGGGAAAAATACCAAGGTTAGTGGGGAAAGCGGAGGGGGGGGGGGCAGGGCGGCTAGAGGTAACTTGGAACACGCTGGTGCCTCCACTCTGATCGCCTCAGTTTCCTCTCCTCCTCTTCCCTTTCTTAAGGCTTTGTTTTATGTCGAGGGAAGCCGGGGACTAAGATATTCATTCATCTCCCAAAGAGGGGACTTCGGAGTTTGGGAGTGGGAAAAAGGCATACACTCATAAATTTAAATTAAAAAAAAAAAAACTATGTGGAAAGTGGATGAAGCTTAATGTCATTTTAAACAAGAGAACGAGAAGCGACAGGAAAATGACTTCAAGCGGGAGAGATGGGCGGCTCTGAATCCAGAGTTCGGCCCTAATTAACAATAACCTTTGGGGTTGTGGAGTGGGGGGGGGCAACGTTCCTGCCCAGCCACGCGCCTGAGCCCCATTCTAAATCCGCTTAGCTACTTCCGAAGACACCTCCAAAAATAAAACTAAAACTTTGTTCTAAAATAAAGGCAGAATCCAGAAGGAAATGCGTTACCTGGAACGTTTCGTAGTGGGATCTCTCATGACCATACATTCTCTAATTTCTCCAAATTTGCTAAAATAGTCTCTAAGGCTATCTGTAGAGAGAGAAAGAGAGAGATGGGGGGGTGGGAGAAGGTGTGGAGAGGGAAAAAAGCAATGCAAATTTTGATCAAGGACAAAAAGCAAAAGTAGTTTTCTGTTGTTATTCTGTTTTGTTTTTGCAATATTTTTGCACACGCGGGGGAAATTCGGCAACAGAGGTCGCGTAGAGGGCTCGGAAAGGATTTGCTATTTAAAAAAAATAACCTTGCACAGGAGAAGTGGGGAGCCAATGGCGGGGAGGGGGGGCTCTTACACCGGGATAACAAAGAGCAATAAAGAAGCCAAGAAGGGGGGGACCCAGGCGTCCCCCCCTCCCTCCCTTACCTGGTGAGGTCTGCCAGCTCAGTCCACCGATAAACATTTTACTAGAGGGAGAAAACATAACCGAAGTGAGCACCGATGTCAGATCGGCCATTTT